CGCTCGCGTTTAGGAGAGTATAATTAGCACGGAGAGCATCGCAAGGTCGAGCGGCACGACGCCCGAGACAAATTGCACGTACTCGTTGCGTTCACGTGTGCATATTTTTGCATTCGACAGGATCCGCGATTGCCTCACTAGACGTCATTTACGTTTCATCGTCTGAAAGCTGATCATAAATCTTTCCCTTTAGCATGAATTCGTGGAAAATAAATATTTCTATATGTTCTCAAGTAAAAAAAAAATGATTTCTTTTTAGAAAATTTTCGCGAGTTCACGCTACAGGGGAAGGTCCGTATTATATAGATATACGATACTACAGTATATACAGGGTATATAGATGTATACACAGAGTATAGATACTTTTCTTGCATTTTTTAAGTTGTGCGTATTTCTTTGCAACAAGAGACGTACTGAGAAAAAAGTGATTGGTATTTGTTGTTATAATCGCACAGTAAAAAAATTATAATCAGAAGGAGCATTTTTTTATTAAGTGTTACTGTTTAAAAGATGTCATTGATAATTAATTGTATTGATGCAGATAGTATTACACCATATACAGTAGTATCGTCAGGTTGTCTTTCGATAATATAAAATCTCGTGTAGATTAGATAAACAAAAAATTTCTCGACCATTTTGCAAATAATCATGTAAAATTTTTGAGTTATTAATTGGAGAAATTGACGAATGGTCACGTGGGATATGATGCTGCGTGGTACGATTTGTATTATGTGCTTGTGTTGGGTTACATTACACAGAAATATCTTCTATCGTTTTGCGAATAACCACGTAGAGTTTTTTAAGTTATTAATTAAAGAATTGAAGTTATTAATTAAAGAACTCGCAATTTTTCGTTTGTCCTTTTTTTCAAAACCGATTTTTAAATTCGCGAACAAATATTTTCTAGTTCATCAGTTGCGATTGCACAAAGTATTCTCTATAAATTGCAGAAAAAAATTCCATCGTTTCAGAAAATAAAAATCCGCAAAAAAGGCGTATATTGCAAAGAGATCACATTGAGAGCGGGATTATTATATAGAGGATATATTGGTCCCGTTTAGAGGAAAAAGAATTCGATTCGTGTAACTGATTTTCTGTTGTATCGGGACTTTCAAAAGTTCGTTTTGTAGCGACAGAAAGACTCTTGAGAAGACCTCCATTTAGTCAATATGTCACGGTTATTTTGTGAGGAATTTTAATGCAACCGAACATCCAGAGAAATACTTTCAGTCGCGACAATAAAGATATCGTTTTTCGTCATCGAATTTTCGTCCGATTCCCATTCTGTTATACGAACTGAGATTTTTCATGTACGTGTTTTTTTTTCATTGCACGAGCAGAAATTTTTCTCCATTCTACGTGTTTTTTTGTTTTTGTTTTATCTGAACTCACCCGTCGAGCGAAAACAATTTCTGTAATTTTAAATTTACCTACCGTTTTTCTGGTCATCCACGTGCATTGTAAAACTCTCCATAGTTGATTTTAGCGACACAATAATCAATCCGGACACTGCGTATTGCAAAAATATTACACTGAGATATTATTGTACGTTGTGACACGTGGGAGTTTTGTCTCTCGAATGTATAATAACTTGGTTGATCTCGCGTACGAGATACAATTTGGAAAAACGCCTCGCACAACACTGAGTATATTTTGCGCGCTTATCCGTATGGAAATGTTTCAGCTCATAGAATGGAGTTTATTGCTGATTCACTGCTTTATTCGCGTTTATCCGGTGCCCCTCGTGCCGCTCACACTGCACTTTCGTTGGAAGCCCTCTCGTGACTTCGATATTGCGGGATCATCGGTCGAGAGCGAGAGATGGTTTTAAAGGCGTGGGAAACTGTCCGCGCGGGTAAAGCGTTGCTCAATTCTCGTCTTTTTCGCACCGATCAAATAGATGCAACCTGTGTCTGTCTGTCTGTCTGTCTGTCTGTCTGTCTGTCGGTCGGTCGGATTGCCTGTCTTTTTATTTCTTTTCTCGCTGATCGCGCGGAAGAAATATATTTCACACATTGCGCATGCAAGACGTGCAAATTTCATTGTCTGACTAATTACACTATTCTTAGACTATTCTTTTCCGGTTGCTGGTGATTTTTAAGGCCGCTTTTTACAACAATAGTTTAAGCTTACATTTGATCTTAAACTCTGTTCAAATACATCAGACATTGTTAGGCCAGGAGCACGCAGAAAAACGTAAGTGAAGCTAAAGAAGTGAGCACATTGACCAACCACAATCGACGATTCTTCTTACGATCTGAGAATAATCGATCGTGATTAGTCAGTTTTCTCACTGCTCATCCCTTACTGCTTTTCTGCGCGCTGTCCGCTTCAGAATAGAGTTCAAACTTAAGTCTCAATTCAAACTGCTATTGGAAAATCAACTCTTCAGCTGAATCGCGGATTGGGACGAGTCGGCACTTTCGTAATCTTCCTCTTGAATTGATCGCGGTTATAAAAAGAATCACTTACCAACACAACGTGATTCTAACGTATTTTTTATAAATATAATACAACGATAAAAAGTATGGGCGACTTCACTTCTCGTGATGTACGTGGGCTTCTCGGCCGTATCTCCTCGAAGTGAAAGGGTCAATGCGCGTTCCCGACCGTTCGATCCCACATTACCAAATTCGCAATTGGCGAGTCGGCCGACCGGCGAATGGCCATCGCACCAATAACGCCTGTCTCGGCGTTTAATGCCGACACATTTAGAAATAGAGCGAGGATACATTGTTAACCTTGCTACATCGACGTATCGCCCTGCCGGCGGCGTGGCTGCTTTCGTCGATCAATCGCGATTGACGTGTAGAATGGCCTATTGCTCGTTGCATCCTCGCGCGGATTCCGCCACGCCAGATTGACGTCGTCGTCGTCGTCGTCGTCGACGTTGCGCGTGATATTTTCTTCTGCGACGGTCGAGCGACGCGAGTTTGGCACATGCCAGGTCGGAGCCACGGGGTGATCGATAGCATCGCCTATTCCCGTTTTCGAGAACATCGACGAAGGGAGCAGGGCTCGAGCGTTGCTCGGGTATATCGGAGAGAAGAGACCTTTGTCTCTTCTCTCTCGACGAGCTGTTTTTAAAGCCGCCCGCAATTCGCGGACAGCATTCGGGACAGAGTCCTGCCTGTAGCGTTACATGTCGGCTTTGTCGACTTCTAATTGCGGGTAAGAGAAAGATCGTATCAGTCGTAAATTCACATGTTATAATTACATGCGTAATTATAGAGTCCGTGCGTGATGTTAAGTCGATTTTCCCGGAGACTTCTTATTTTCAGACTTAGCGTGGCGAACACCCGATGCTGCTCGCATTCTATACGGAAAAAAAAGATTTGGTTGAATTAACCAAATATCTGGTCGAATATGAACGATCCAGAAATTCCGATTAAAGTAATTCCGAATTCTGTTTAAGTTAACAAGATTTTTGGCAGAAAATGTCTGATTAAATGACCAGACATGTTTAGTTAGTCTGCCGAAAATCTTGTTAACTTAAACAGAATTCGGAATTACTTTAATCGGAATTTCTGGATCGTTCATATTCGACCAGATATTTGGTTAATTCAACCAAATCTTTTTTTTCCGTGTACTACTTGTCGCAAACACTAGATCTTTGCTATCATGAAACTTGTCATCGAAGCTGTATGTATGTCGTAGAATACTACGATTCGAATCTGTTGGCTTATTATACATATTCTTGAATAGTTATCACGTGTAATTATACCTCTTATGGCTTATTATTATGTTAGCTAGTCGGAAAATAGCGAGAATAATGTCGAGGACGATGCTGAATACTGAATCATCCGATTCCTCTGAGTCATTTGAGCATCTGAATCATCATACTGAGCAGGGATCCGGAAATGGAACCGCTAATCGCAGCGTAACAAGTTCTTTTGGTCAAACTAAAACTGCAAGTCGTGCTAGAATTTGATAAGGTCTGTGGAACCGGAACATATTACATATTACATAATACATATCCATAACTTGATAAAAATGTGAATAAATAGCACAATTTTTTAAGAACAAAAGCGAAATAAAGGGATCAGTGCTTTTTATCGGCCAAGAAGCCGGAACTGAAAGCGGTACTGTTGTTAAATATCTTAATAATCTAGAAGTTAGATATCTCGTTGGATCAAAACGAAATTTTCGTATGGTTCTGATCCCTGACACTGAGTATTCCAATTGGAAGTGCAGTATAGCGATTATGATAGGAAAATATATAGAACGAAGAATATAGAGAGTTCACATACAGACCTATATTGTTGTATTTGCGCGTCAGCGTTTTAGAATAAGCAATATTATAGTATACGATTCGATTAGACTTCCCTTCTCTTGTTTTCGAATAAAATCGGCCCACTTTAGACATTTGCCATAATTTTCATTACGACAAAGTTTTTCGTTAAATTTAAACTTTGTCGACTTTTTATCACTGTGGAAAGAGAGGTCGATAATTTTCAATTAAACTTAATAGACTGTGCTAAACGACCCGTGTACTCGTGACTCAACAGAAAATCGCTTTTACCTCGCGCTTTTGCGCGTAACAGACAAATGCGACATATCTATGTGAGAGCGTAAAAAAAAAGCGTAGAAAGGGAAATATGCATTTCCACTGAGACTGGAATTGTCGGAAATTCGAGACCAAGAGGAGAAACGCGTTTCGCGATAGGGGTTCTCGCGCACGAAACACAGCGAATGTGTTGACGTAACTTGAAGTAACGTCGCAGGCCGCGGGGCGTTAATTGTGAATCGCACGTGAGTTACACTGCAATTTTGTAATCTTGCGAGATGAAGGTCAGTGTCCCATTGCGAACACGTGATGCAAGCTTTCACAGCAGTCATGTCGAAAGCGCTCTATCGCGGAGGATCTATTTTCAGAAAATACCTCCGGCAACCTTGAGCTCGCCTGCTGGCCAAAAACGGGCTCTCTCTCTCTTCTTTCTCGCCCCCTTTGTCTTACTTTCTCTCTCCTTTTCTCTCTTTTTCTCTCTTTTTCGTTTCAGATTTAATTCACTGCACCAACGAACCGAACGTCTCCATACCGCAACTCGCGAACCTCCTGATCGAACGTTCGCAGAACACGAATTGGACAGTGGTGTTCAAAGCTCTGATCACGGTGCATCACATGCTCTGCTATGGCAACGAGGTAAGGATCGGCTTTTTGCTCGCGAGACCTCTCGCATCTCTTCTTGTCGCTTGTCCGACACTAAATAAAATAATTTCTTTATACGCAGAGGTTTACGCAGTATCTCGCCTCCAGCAACAGCACGTTCCAGCTCAGCAATTTTCTCGACAAGAGCGGCGTACAAGGTGATCATTTCGTGATACGATTTTATCAGCGAGCACTTTCCCGAGCGTGCCTCGGGATATCTCGCACGGAATGCTCCGGAATTGGCGGAAAGTGGCGGGACACACGTGGCGTTGCGTGAAAGGTGCGCGGACGGACTTTTCCTCGGCAAAAAGTCTCCTCGGCCGAAGAAGACCGTCGTCAGTTATTGCGACACACCGACAGCTCGGCTATCGAAGCCATAAAATTCCAAGTTTCGTTTCGATAAAGCCCGCTTCAAATCGAATAACGGACAAGCTATCGTTATTTCGTTCGCGCTTTGTAAGCTCTCAACTCGCAAATTCAACACCGATTGTCTCTTTGATCTCTCGGATAATCTAATTGTAATCGTTAGCGTTTCGACATTTCTTCGCGTGGATAATATTCGAGCACGAATTTCGCAGCGATACGTGATTTTCCGCCAATCCTGGAATATTCTGCACAGCGACTAATCCCACAACGATTTGTAACGTCCATTGAAACTAAAAAGCGCATTTCGTTTACCCGAGGAGCGGAAGATTAACGTTCATCTTTCGATTAACCAAAGAAAATCACGCCGCGAACGGCACACGCAGCACGATGCGCACGGCTTACCGCACGATCCTCCTCGTAAGCAAGAATCACGCGTGGATCCGATTAACGGAGAGCCAGTTGCGTCAATACTACGGCCAGGCTTAATATGCACGTGTCACATAGAAAATTGCAACACCTCGCAATTTGAATAGTCGATAATCGCGGCGGTGAGCACTTTGATCCCGTCGAGAACGCGACGAGGACTTGATTTTATTTGCCGACTGGAGATAGCTGAGCGTAACGTGCCGATCGGCAATGATTAAACGAGTCGTTTGGAATAATAACCATGGATTTCCACGATGATAAACGCGCGGACGTTTTCATTCCCGGCGACGAGTCCAAGTTTTCCGCTCGACCAACTTCCTTGCATTGTGCGGCTCTATCGTCCATATGGAAAATGCGAATTTCTTTCTCTTTTCCATGTATCTGGCATCTGTGTGTACGATTTACTAACCTGGACTAACTTTCTATCTTTTTTGGGCACAGCAGGAATACGCGTGGGTGAGTTCTAATTGCAAGACGTTCGTTCTACTTGTTTCACGTTATGTGTGTGTGGTACTTACTAACGCGGCTTTGTAGCTCTGTATCTATGTCGTTCGACTTTAACTTTAACTTTGCAATGATAATGCAGAATGATAATGCAGAAATATACGTAGCGTGTGTACATGGGTTTAACTCCAACTTAATCTTCGTGTCGATTAACGTCTGTTTAATATCACAGCCGCGACACGACGCGTATTAATCCGTCGTAAACGTACGGAGGATATATAAGACTTACGAAATGTGTTTGGTAAAAAAGCACACAAGTAATTTCCGATCGGCTCCGACGTGCACGTTTACATAACTTATGAAATTAATGCAACAGCACCGCCACACAGTCGACTTTCTAATTTCACTTTTACGCACTGTTGCGTGTAGCGTGTTTGTTAGTGCTTTCATCGCGCCTCACTGTGTGTGTGTACGGATGAGTAATGATCGTTTTTTATGCGTCAGGATATGACATGTCGCCGTTTATCAGACGATACGCCAAGTACCTCAACGAGAAAGCTCTCTCCTACAGGACGGTAGCGTTCGACTTCTGCAAAGTGAAAAGAGGGTATGTGTGTGCATATGTGTATGAGTGTGTATTGTGTGTTAAAAGTAATTTTATTACTAATCAAATGATTATGACCTTTTGCTTTTTCAAGTGATTGATTAAGCACTTAGTATTTACATGCGCTTATGTTTATTATTATTGTCATCATTGAGGCAATTAATAATCATTGGGTTAATCACATTGTAGGAAGGAGGACGGTACTCTACGTACAATGAATGCTGAGAAACTTCTAAAAACCTTGCCGGTGCTGCAGTCGCAACTCGACGCACTGCTGGAATTCGATTGCACGGCTAACGACCTCACAAATGGCGTCATAAACATGGCCTTCATGCTTCTCTTTCGAGATCTTATCCGGTTATTCGCCTGCTATAATGACGGCATCATTAATCTATTAGGTAACACACCATTCAGTATTCCCTTTTCCTATCTGAGAACAAACACGTATTCGGTGTTATCGATAACGGCGGCATAATTATTTGCGGGAGATTCTCTGCGTGCGAGTATCAACGTATCCTGCTCTAATCGGTCCGATTGCGTGTGTGACCTTTCAGAAAAATATTTCGACATGAATAAGAAACAATGTCGGGACGCTTTAGACCTCTACAAGAAGTTTCTTATACGCATGGACAGGGTCGGAGAATTTTTGAAAGTCGCGGAAGTAAGTTATACGCATGGTTCGAACGTAAAGACGACCGTGGTGGCTGTTAACGCAAAACTGATCCCGTATCTTCTTTGCAGAATGTCGGCATCGACAAGGGAGACATACCAGACCTGACGAAGGTGCGTGCGCTCAATGTACTACTTATCTTCCGACATCCTGCTAACCCGTCTGCGATAACGATCTGTTTAATTGTCCGTGTTCAATTCGGAGAGTTATTAACGATGTGCGAACAAAATTACTTAGCTAAGCAAAAAGGTGATATTTTCATTTGTTTCTTCTTCTTGTACATTGCTGCAGGTAATAACGTCATTGATTATCTAACAAAGTAGAATTAGTGTGATTTAGAATAGAGAGAAAGAGAGAGAGAGAGCAACGTAGATGATCAACGATACTTATTTCGTGGAGATTATGTGAACGAGTCGTGTTTGCAAATCATTCTAGCGGATTATTTTGAAGATCTTTCATAATGTCCAGCTTACGTTGACAAAACAATCTAAACGAAAGCATGCATTTTCGAAATCAAGCGCACAGTTGAATTTTGCATTGCACCTTCGCGATAGTTAAGCTTGATAATGCTCCAAAAATGACCGGCGAATTGCTTTTTAGGCACCGAGTAGTTTATTGGATGCATTGGAGCAACATCTCGCTTCCTTGGAAGGAAAGAAGGGCTCCGCCGCGAATACACCAACACAGTCAGCAAGGTACGCCGATTTTCCTTCATTTATCCAAGTCATTTATGTCTTAAATATTGATCAACGTAGGGATATCGATCCTAAACATCTATTATACATCGAATGCTGAATGCTATTGAAATTGATATTACTATATTCCTATAAACTCTTCATTATATATACATATATATATATTTTTTTTTATCTCATCATTCTCTCATACCCGATGGACAGAAAATCTCTTTTTATACATATCGCCACGAGCTTCTCAAAATGAATAGTACTTGATACGTTTATTGCACACGCACATGTAAGAATCTATGCAAATGAATTACGCGACTCCGTGAGTCTCCGAATATCCTGACTTCCCGATTAATTATTTTGAACCAGTGGAATGTTAAGTGTTGACTATTTTTCTTTGCGTATTTGTCGACTAAAGAAGTCTGAATAGTATTCTTTAGTATTATTGCTGTGGAAAGAGATATTTGATTATCTTTCTGAACACAGTTGTCCGACTTGAAAAATTTGTCGATGGTATCCCTGGATACAAGGTTAATATTGTCTCCAATATTTAATGTTTAGTTGTAGAACACTCAAAAATTTTTCCCCAATCCTGACCCATTTTAGATATCCGTTTTATCCTTAAATTTGGTATCTAATTTTTATGTATTTACGTGTACTTTTCCTCGAGAGTCGTGACTGTGATTATTGTGACACTATCCAGTTTGTCGCTCCTACATAATGCACGAATGAACAAAGTGTCTAGATAATTAACGTGGCTTCTCCTTATAGTTCATTGACATAGTTAAGCACGCTTTGACATATCGCTCTGAGCTACCGATTGCGGATCAGAATCGATCATGCAGTGATCATCGCTTGAATTTGGATAGGTATTGATACACTATCAATTCGCACAATGCAGCAAAATCTCACTATCTATTATAAAACGAGCGAACTGTACATTCATTAATCGCCGAACACTATGTGTTCTTACAGATGCACTGTTTTTAATTGAAATGATTTATTTGACAACAGCAAAGTATGAGAATTATAATGATGTGTAATGCACATGTATTTATTTATACAAAACTGCTTCTCTCTATCGTAGCGCAAGTGCAACACTACTCGTAGTACGCTACTTGAACTTCAATTGTGAATCACGCGAGATGTACTGAGCAATATTAGGGCTACTCCTTACTTATAGTTAGTAGAACATCAATAAATGCATGTGTATATTAGGATACAGTGCGAAAGAGTGGAAAGAAAAGAATGAATGTGAGGAGAAGAAAGTGGAGTCGGGCGTTGATGCTGTGTGAGGACGTGTGTGTATGTGTGTGTCTGTGCGTACGTGTGTGACAATGCACATTGCAATTTTCTACGCATTGTTACATCTATACGTTACTACACCGTTTCTCTTTTTTGTTTTTTTGTTTGTCTTCTCTCCTTTGTTTTCAATTACATATTTTCCTTTACGCTCCTCTCTCGCCACATTTTACGCTGAAACGGACCTTCCGTATTCTTCTGTCCGTCCTCTTTTCCATCGACACAACATCCGACATCCTATCATCGCCCAAGCAGCAATAGAACCAATGTAAAGTCGGGAGTGTCCGCCCTGTCTTCCACCAGTACCGCGTTCGGAACAGCAGCCAGTAACGCGCGACTCGACCAAACCGGGAACGGCCATATCGATGAAGCGTTGCGACAGCAAGCTCTCGCGGAAGAGGAAGCCGCCATGAATCAATACAAGGTATTAGCTCGCACATTGATCGTAATCCTCGAATCGAGTTTTGCATCTCTAATTGTATCCATATTGGGTTAAGAGATAGGAAATTTAACCCTTTCGGTACGAAAGGTGATTAATAATCACCTGCTGCTCGAACGCGGGTCCTTTAAAAAAATGCACAAGAATTCTTTGGCGTGCATATGTGTCACTGAACATTCTCCAACAAGTGGGAGTCTTTTCCGGCTGGAACTTGGCATACCGAAAGCGTTAAAACAGAAAAAAATTTGGCCAAACTGGGAGTTGTAGCATTCAATCAGAAATTAATGTGAAAATATTCTTTTAAGGCTCCTCGTCGCTGGCGTCTTAATTAATGACGTCAGAAGAGCAAGAAAACGTATGTCCAAAGTTCTTATGGAATACGTCGAAATAAAATGTCATGTCTATAAAATCACACTTGTGATCGATTGAGCACATTTGCAAAATATTACGAAAACTTTCCTTTTGGTCCAATCAATAAATAGTTATAAAATTAATGTGACAAGTTCATGAAGAAAGATAGGTTAAAGAGGAAGGTTGCATTGTCATTGTGTTAATTTTACGGTTAGTTAGTTTATTGATTGTTAGAACAAAAGGAAAATTTTCGGAATATTTCACAAACGCGCTCAATCGATTCCAAGGATTATATTTTATGGGTATATTTTTTTATTTTAGCGTATTTCGCAAGAATTTCGGGCATGTATTTTCTCGCTTCTGATGTCACCAATCGAAAGTTTTGCGACGAAAAAAAATAGGAGCTTTAAGCAATTTTTTGATAAAGGAATTCAATTTGCAGGCTAAAGTACAATCACCATCGGGTGGTCCCAGCACAAATCCCTTCCTCAGTTCTCCAACCAACAATGCTAATCAGCCGATCGTGGATTTGTTCGGTGCTGCACCAGCGTCCGATAGTCAGGTACGCTCTGCGTTCGACAATTTAAGACTCCTGGTGCCTGCTACTGCGGCGAAACCTTGGATTGATGATGTCAAAAGCGAGAAAACGCACGCCAAAAATTCTTGCGTGTCATCTTCAAATAGAAACATATATGAAAAACAAATACTTCAAATTTTTTAAGCATACTTGTTCCGAAAACTATCCTTTTCCCTTGACAGTCAATAATTAAGTTTAAAATAAAATTAATTTAAAATAAGAAAATCATGACAAAATCATGAGGAAAGGTATGTTAAACGGGAAAGTTACATTCCATGTTAATTTTAAGACTATTTATCGACTATTAAGGAAAAATTATAGTTTTTGGATTTTATAAGTATGCTCAAGCGATCTGTTATCTCCTACAAATATATAAATAATATATAAATATAAATTTTATCTGAAAATTCGTCGTTCTTGCAGCCGCAGAAGGCGTCGGACGATCTGCTGCAACTAGCGGGTAATCCGTTCGCGAACATGTTCGGAACGGCGCAGCCGGCCGCAGCCGCGCAACCCGCTCAGATGCAGAACAACATGTGGATGACCAACGGTAATGGTGAGCACGAGACTTAAGTCGCGATACTCGGTGATCATCGCTGCTTCTTCTGTCACCGCGCTTGATCTGATTATTTTTTTTCCTTTGTTTCTCATTTTCTTCCATTTTCCATTTTTTAGGTTTCGCGGCTGCGCCACCAGCAAATAATAACTTTGTTACAGATAACAGTTTTTCCTCCGTATTCGGAAATCAAGATCAGCAATCTTGTAAGTGCTTAATCGTGAGATAGATAAGTGAGAACAATAATACCGTAACGAGCGTACTCTTGTCGAGAGATTCAGTGCATTTTTCGTTTTCTTACTTTGTCGTTTACTTGTGCGTCTTCTTTTCTCTTTATATCTGTCGTAGAACTCTCGCGGCCATTCTTATGATACTTTTGCATCATTTGTCTACTTTTCATACTTAAAACGCCTGAGCAATCACACATACCGTTTATTAACGCTATAAGCAGAGACGTACCGAGTGAAGCAGCGATTACACGGTCGCGGAAGGCTCGTTCGCAATCTCGAGTATAATAATCATAGTATAATGACAGTGACTATAAATAACAATCTCAAGTATCCTGTGTTCTTATACACGTCCCATTCGTGGTAATCGTTGAGATTATTCGGTATACTCTCCGTGTGTGCATTTCGCGACGAGACGGACGAATGTCGTCGCGTTAACGTATTTCGAACGATTCTCACTCCGCTCTATCCGAAACTAACAATAATTAATCGGTTGTAAATGCCTTATGGTATCGCAAGATATTTAACATTGCTCACGCCTCCCGGACGCAAGAGAGAGAAAGAAACTCGCTAATTTATGCACCCCGATCACTTTCTGCGCAAGCTGGCGCTCCAGGAACGGCCGCGTCCGTACCTAATCCCTTCATGTCCGATTTCCCGTCCGTGGGTGGCAGCGGCCAGGCAACAAGCACGGGCGCCTTCGGGCTGTTCGAGCAGGGCGCTGGCGGCGTTGTTGTTGGCGGCGCGATGAACGAGCCGGCACAAGCGGCGGCGGCGCAAGGCGGAGACCTCTTCAGTGCCGGCGGTGGTCAGGCGGATCTTTTTGGAGCCGAGTCCACCGCGATGCTGAGGGCCGCGAACGGCAGTGACGGAGACGCCGCGGCCGATGTGATGGCGGCGGCGCCTCCCGCCGTCGGCAAGCCACCGTCCACTGCCACGCCGCCACCTAGACCACCGCCACCCGCGACCGCCGCGAATGGTGCACCGCGTACACTGTCACCGACGTGTGTCGGCGGAGCGTCACATGGTAGGCCAGCGGCGGCGTCGGCGACTGCATCGGCGACGACGGCGGCGGCTGCGAGCGCCGCCGCCGGTTCAGCTCCGGGCAAGAGCGCCTTTGACGATCTCAACGACAGTATCCGCATGGCACTGGGTGGGTCTCCGTCGCGTCCGGCACCACTGGCCCAGCAACAGCAGCAACAACAACAAGCCGCCGGCCTCGTGACCGCCCAACAACAGCCGCCGCAACAACGACGCATGCCGCCGCAGTCGGCGGCCGGTATGTTCGCGGACGACGCTACTGAGCAACCTATGAGCATTCCCGGTGGGCCGATAGGCTATGGTATCCCTACCCAAGCCCAAGTCCCCGTGGGGTACGGTTCGCCGGCAAAGCAACCTATGTCAGGTGACAGGAATGCCCCAATTAGTCACGCTAATTGCATGAGACTTTCGCACTTTCCCTCTGCCTTCCACAGTGAATCCAGGTTCTTCTTTTCTTTTTCTTTTCTTTTATCCCTATCCTCGTCTTCTTTTTTTTTTGGCACGTCTCACGTTCGATTTGTGCCTGTCGCTAGCTCGGCAACCAGCTGCCTTAAGTGTCTTAAATTATGATTTCGAGCACGCGAAGACACGAGATAATCCTGATGTGATCTTGGCACTCGTACGAGTAGTCCAGCGTTATTAATATCCCAGATGTTATAAAAGTCACAGGAGAACGATAAACGATTACATCATTAATGTACTGATCAGGATCACGCGCGATAACCTCTGATTGTTATTGTTTTCATGCGTGTACACTTTAATTAATACACGATAAACTATGCATGCTGTCATTCGCGTGACTAATTGTAGAAAAACAAATCTGCGTAATTTTGTTGCACGCCGTTATTTAGAATTGATGCGACGACGGTTGGCCCCTTCGTTCTAGATTTTCCGGGTATTATTTTGTTTTTCTTCTTAGTTCATTACGATATATGTTACTTCTGTTTTATCCCGTAATTATGTGAATCAGTTACACGATTCGCTTCAAGTTCCCATTCGGATTTTATAGTCGGTGTTTCGGCTGATGTAGATGTTGCTTGAGATTTGATAGTTTGTGGGGGGAGGGGAGGGGAGTTTGGCGTTGATGTGTTGACAACTGTATCCCGAGTTAACAATGTTTCAGCCGCGGGACAACCGGTCAATGCGGCCGGCACCGGCAAGGTCCTAACCGGAGATTTAGACAGCAGCCTCGCCAGCCTTGCGCAGAACTTGACGATTAATAAGAGCGCTCAGCAACAAGTGAAGTGAGTGTGACCATATCTTTATACGTAAATAATTCCAATTCTAAGCTTCTAAATGCATAATTTCGTAAATCTCGTTGAAATTAATACTGCCGTAACAGTGGCAGTAAATTGCCAATTATATTTCAAAACTGGTTTAAACGTGATCGATACTAAGCTAATTAACGGATGTTTTTCTTCCTTCAGGGGAATGCAGTGGAATTCTCCAAAGAACGCTGCGAAAACGGGCGGTCCAGCTGGATGGTCACCGCAACCAATGGCAGCTACGACTGGTGCTGGATATCGACCCATGGTGAGCTCCAATCTTTCCTTTTTTTAGTCTTGTTATTGTTACAAAAATATTGTCGCAGCACGTACTTTTTGATTGTTAGTACACTATAGATGCGAATACACAGACATGAACAGCGCACACATATTCACTGTCATTGCTATGCATATATTATTCCTCAAGTTACCATTGAAGCAAACTACCTTGTCGTTTCCGATAGAACCTGTAGCTATTTTTACATCGTGACACTTAGATTATAAATGTTACATAGCACCTTAGTTAGATGGTTCTCCCCGTACGATGTTATTTCCGTCTCTCTACGTCCCACATTCGATTCAGCGCTCTTTTGCGGAAGGGCCGTAAGAATTCCTCATTGCGCGCGGAGTCGCTTTAACAGCAATTATTCGCAAAAAGTTGCACCTCGCAGATCACTTGATTTTAATATGCGTTATAAGGGGTAAGTTATTGAATCACCTGCACTTCAAACCACACGCAACCTGCACATCTGGTTATATTTAAGTGTAGTTAAGTGTAAAATTGTAATACTTCAAAGCGATTGATATCTCGGGAACCAAATGCAACTCGCAGCTGGTTTAAAGCGCAGATGACTTGGCACACATACTATTTATATTCTTTATAACATATATACGTAAAATATAATCTGTAAGGTGCAATCTCTTGTAAATAATTATTGCTTTAGCGCGTTGGCGCAACGCGCTAAATGCGTAGTGTTACCCACGTATCCTCAACCCTCTTTGTCTATGTAGACACGTCGAGATATATGTAAGATACAAGTTTACCATCCGCAGCGTCGTGGGACTCTTTCGCGCTCTTCGTAATACCGTAACGACACTTTCCCCGTCAATTAGCGCCCCTTTTAGGTGAGTGTTGCATGCGTGGCATATGGCATGTTACCGGATGTTACAGGGCCAAGGAATGACGCAGCTGCTGCCGACGACCACGACCATGGGGTTTCCCACGCAGCCTACGATGATGGTAAGCCCCTGGAAAATCACAAGCGTCTTCACTCGAAACGCATGATGAACACGACGCGATGATACACAACGCCAAACTCGTCCGAATTTCACCTCGCGCGAGTACAGTGTGCGATAACACATATTGTCACTAACTCATATTGTCAATAATGATATCCACTGTAAATTGCATACCGATCGGTCTCCACTTTCCGAGGCGAAGTGGCGAGTCGCCGGGAAATAACATCCTTCACTTCGACACCTCATTGCGTTTCTTGTGCATTATGTTGCTTTTATTGCATCGGCCGCTGGCGCACGATTTGAGAATGTAGTTGACGATACTGGATCGTGATTTATCTTTATTTATGCTCCTCTCTGCGGACTGGTTTGAGATTTTCTCCCCGTACGTTCTTGGCTATTATTCGCTTGAGATATTTTAGTTTAAGGTAGACAACGTAGACAAGTCTTAGATACGTGCGAATACAAAACGTGATGACATGATATATACACAGGTAACACATAGAATAAATTAAGTATCATTTTTTACGAAAGAACCCGCGCGCTCAAGAGAGATTATAGATCAAATGCGAGAATGATCAAGCTGGGTGGCTGGAAAAAGAGTAAGTACGCGAGAATACATACCGCATTTTGAAAGAATCGATAGAGATAAAGAGCGTTTTTCGAGTATTTCTATTTTACTTGAGGCATCTTTGTATTTTTTTAGCTTCAATATAAACTTAGAGGCATATGTAATTGTTTCAAACATTAATGTGATTGCCTCCAAAGTGTCTGATGAAAAGTTTGAAATTCACTCTTTTCCCTTCTTTCCAACCACCATATTATCTCGTCTAAACAATACAATCGATCGGTCCTCCGTTGTTAACCTTAACGATAAAAAAAAGCGTTATTTCGAAGGCACACGCTCTCTATTGTACATATATCTCATTCTCTCGCTCTCTGGTGTCTGTAGGGTATGCAAGGTATACCAATGGGCATACAGGGCATGCAGGGTATGCAGGGTATGAGGCCGATGATGTGTACTATCCCAGGTGCTTCCGCCGCCGGTAGCGGTATGATGGTTGCGGGAGGAACTGCACCAATGATGCAAATGGCCGGTACGAATCCCATGATGGGTCCTAACCTGCAGCAGCAGCATCCTCAAGCAGCAGCTCAGCCACAAGGCAATGCTGTCCAGCTCGATCCGTTTGGTGCTCTGTGAAGGGATTAGGTACCTATTTCCTCATTTGGCATTCTGCGCGCTTGAGTCGATGGACCTCGAGGCGTAACGTACAGTAGGATGTGTGATGACCTGTGATAGGGGACGACGTGTCTCGATTGAGGATGACGCGACAATCCAGACATCCGCGATTCGATACACGACATCGATCGCAACGGGCTTCTCTCGCGATACAGTCCGGGCCTTTCTTTAACCTGCGGTCGAGGGTAATTTCATTGGATACTTGTTCAGCCAAAAATTGTATCTGTACAATTCTCTTACGGTAATTACGATGTCCCGTTTATGAAGCCAAATTGATTATCCTTATAGCGACAGAGTAAAGTACTTTTTAATGGGAATTCCATTGAAAGTGACACTAGTTACAATCCTCGCAATTGCAAAGTGCAGAGACAATATATACGCGAAGATTACAAGACCCAATGAATTTTCTGCAGTAAGTTGTACCATACAATTATGATTTTACTTGATACGTTAATATATATATACATATACATATGTGTATAATCGGTAGAATCATAAATATAGTAGTTTAGTGTACAGCCTCAGCCCTTGCGATCTTTACATTCCTTTTCGAACGATCTCTCTTAATGGGTATCATTCTGGAATCGTGGGAATAATGTACATAATCTCTGTGACTTATATATCTGTGATTAATAATGTAAGTGCCATATGTAACATTTGTGATATTGAGATTTTAGAGTCATTGATCTTCACAAATCTACTTTAGATAACTTACCGACCACTCCATGTTACTAATAATACACCTTGATACCTCTTCACACTTTCTACATCATCTTTTTACATCACGCAGCATTATGTCATTAATCTGATCGATGTTGCTTGCAAACAAATACGCCATATGAAAATTTGATCGCATACATAATGCATTCGTTAGTGCATAGTTAAAGAATTAAATTAAAATGATGTTACACCCTACCAAACGTAACATTGCTCGCGGTACTAAAGCAAATATTAATTTAACTGTTCCAGGATTCAAAATGGAATTAAGAAGACGGAGCGACATTTTGTAAATATCGTTGTGTAATATGCCTAGAAAAAAAAAAAGAATCACACGATTTATTCCCGCTTATTTCCGTTAGACGTGGGCCCGATCGATCTTGGATCATTGAATATCACTTGAATCGTCACATTGTGAATACGCGATCGGTATAATTGTATCATACTTTCTATATATATATGTGTGTGTGCTCGCCGAGTAGGTAACATGCGTTACTATTCCGATATAGGACGTCGTTCCCATGAACCAGTTTGATTAACGTTAAAATGAAAACTGGCGGTTTTTTTTTCAAGGAAGAGACCTGCATATTTGAGATCTTATCAGGCAAGAAAGTTAAAAAGTGGGCAGAGGAATAAATAGATGAGGTGGTGGCGAGAGGATGAAAGAGAAGGAAGAGAAAGAGGTCGAGCCTTAAAAATAAAATATTCCAGCCAGTGTTCATGGGAATCGTACCGTAGTCAAAGGGTGGCCTTTTCACCCTGAAATCCGTAGCCGGGCATAATTCAGTTTAGACAGACAAGAGTTGTTCGGACGCGAGTTGCGTTTAGAATGACACGAACATGCGAGTGCGGTGATTCCGTGAGGATTCGTGCCGTGAAAAAAAAGGAACAGTGAACTGCGCGAATGTGATCGAGAGTGACAATTTATTAGCAGCGCACGTGAGCCGAACTGTTCTTCTTCGTTGATATCGAGTAAGCCTATCGAAGATGCATTTCTAAGTTCAATGAAAGATTTCCGTAATTAGCGATATAGCGATATTTAAGTACGATTAGTTGTCGCAAGGATCGATTGTGATGTCGTTATGGGCGCATTGTCGACGCGAGGGAAGAATCCGGTGGTTCGTCATGGTTCTAAACGTAATCGCGTTAGACTTACACGTAGACGACGATTGCACGTACCAATGTCCGCGTTAACGCGAAGCCGTTTAATAAGTGCAAAACAAACAAAAAAAAATTATGTCGAGATAGATTTTCGAATGTATATCCTCGTTGTCATATATATGTATGTGTGTTTGTGTGCACGCGCGCATAAATACACATACACGCGTTGTTCTGCGAATGTACGGGTTCGATTTTTGAGAGAGAATTTCGAGGCTTTCTTTCGAAGTATTAACTCAAACAATAAAGGTATACACGCGATAATTATTACACACATACATACATATACACACACATACTAAACACACAGATACACATATTGTGAGAGAAAGACGATGAACCGAATAGGTGGACTCATTAAATGTTCTTTATCCGTACTGTTCGAAGATATCGTAATTAAATAGTAAAACGAGGTATATATAAACAAGCTAAGACTATGACGCTCATACATAACTACGAATATAATGTAAACCTACAATTCAAGCACGGTACTAGCGATACAGTCAATATCCCGTTCCGTTTGAGGTTGTCAATATACGCTCGATTCCCGTCACTATAGTAGCATTGTCGTTATACGAAAACGAAAATCTGTCGTCTGGAATCGTAGCTTGTATTGTGACCGATTGATCATTTATCCGCAGTCAGCTCGCTCGAGCAAACCTGTACTGCTTCGAATGAGCGATCCACGTGTTTACGAGAAAGAAAAGAAAATGAAGGAACCGTCAAGTACGGTTGCGGGTACGGTTTGAGCATTTTTTTATCAAGTTAGGAGCGAATCAAGTGGTAAAAATTGTAAGCCGATTAGCCTAGAACTCTGACAGTGATCGGTTATGACAGTAACCGAAGTGACAGTAAATATCGACTCTTTATCATACTCTTATCTGTGATAGGTGATATGATAGGTGAGAATATAATAAAGATTTCTACGTTTCTCCTAAACTCACCGTAGTAGTGACGGTGGATGTCTCATATCTTGTCATTGTGCTTCTGTCACAACGAATTACCGTACAGGTTCATGTGGCTTGCGGTCATGAACATTCGATGCGCTCCTAACTTCATCAGAGAAAGAAATGTGTAGACCGTCTTACGCAATCAAGTGGTAGGGGAAGAAAAAGAATTCGTTGCGACGATATGTAAGCAGCGTGTGCAGTGCTAGTCTATAGATTTGTTGTTGAAGGATCACAATAAACGGGGCGAATGATTCTCGCGAGCGACAACTCGGATTGCGACGAACGACCTTCAGTTATTTCGTCAAACTGCACGTTCAAAAGTATCTCCGCTGAAGTCTCGCGTTAATTAATGGGACTCGCTAATCAATTACCCGTCCGCGCTTATTAATTGCGGACGGCACACGACTACTCGCGATCTCGCTTAGTATTGTCTATACTTTCCGTTTTTCCTATTTATTCTCCTTCGTAACGCTACGTCGTGGACTGATCAGGTCGATTCTACCAAGGTCGATTAGCTGTCGCGGTGATTGTGTTTCCGTTTCTCCTTAGATTGCGATACTCGCTGTAGTGTAGATAGCAAGTGAGACATTCGATTAATTAACGCACAGCTTAATTATCCATTGTCATTAAACGACGTTGGTAGAATCGCGCCGTTGAGACAGTAGCTGATGTAAGTATTGAATTTGTACGCCGATCATGACCTTTTCGAGTTCTACACGGAGTATTTTCTACCGCGATTTAAGAGTACACTGTATTAACCTTTCTCACTGTTCTCGTCGCCGATACCTTTAATTTTATTAGTATATGTATGTGTATCACTATGCGTATGTGTGTGTGTATGTGTGTGTGCGTGCGTGCATGCGTGCGTACGTACGTTCGTTCGTTTATGAGACGGTTTGATCACATTTTTTCGATGAAATTAGAAGCGTATCAATTGGTTACAATTGCGAGCCACTGTTTACGGGGACTTGTGTGATAAAATCAATTCTGACTAATCTGGATATCGAATCTAATTTAATGATCTTTTTCTTCTCCACCCACTAATCAGAAAAACAAAGATAGTCTAGGAAATGGGATTTCACATTTTTTCGGCGCGTGACGCTTCACTACGTATGTTCCGCCAATCAGGGCGTATCAAACTTAATTAATTAATAACTCGCGAAGCTTGTATTAAAAAATGGCGAAAAATGTTTCAATATATGGCGGTTGGTGTGAGACAACCTGTATATCTGATCCATCTCATATATCATCACTTGGACATCTGTCATAACGAATTATCGTGCAGACTCTTGAATAACGACTTGCAATCGTGACTACTTGACTCTCTGACTACATCGAAGAAAAATGTGTTCAAACCATTTCGCAACCGAGTGTATTAATATTGATTCCGAGTACCGAGTGTCGGTACCGAGTACGTATTGATATTAATAGGATAAGCAAGAGAAATTGTTGCGAATAGTCGATGGAGACATGTACGTTTGAGATGGTCGAAAAAGTGAGAAAGGTTATAACGTGCGTTCAGCGCATCGTAAAGCGGATGGAGCGGAGGAAGCGGCCAGATATGTCCTCGTGCTCGTATCAACGAATCGCTTCCCTTCCGTCGATGTACATTTCCGTTCTTAAGTCGCTCGATTGATTTCACAGTCGTTCTTCGTAGTCGGACGTATTTTTGTATAATATGAACTCACAGGATCTTCTCTATGAGGGTAACCGACCGCGCGAGGAGTTAGTCTGTAAATCGTTAGTTAAAGGTCGAGCTTCGCGACCGCGGAGATCGTGCGAGTTCTTAATTGGGTCGCCGGTAGCTCTGGCACGGTGACGTGTGAGCGGCGATGATTACATCATTGATACTGTTAGTGTTACTGTTACGTATTTACTTTATTACTCATGGAGTATGTGTAAAAGATATCATTGTAAATTTCGCGAAACCAGCATGAGAGTTTTGTTTATGTAGATATGTGTATTTAAGAGAATTCTCTCTTATGGCGTAATCATCGCGACACGAATTGTAATATATATCACACACGCGCGAATTCTTTCGGCAAATTGATACGGCTCGAATATGAGCTGTTCATGGTTCTTTTTTTGTAATATATATTTCTACACATATATTTATCCTCTGTGCCAGCGTTTAGATTCTAATTGGCCCTCCTCTTCTCACTGTGATCTTATGTTAGTGTTTTTCACACATTTTCTCTCTAATCAATTCCTTTCGTTTGTCCTCTGTGGGAAGGAAGGATGTTGTGTCGGGTTCGCGGTCGGCATCGCTTGAAGCTACCGGTGGCCGAGCATAACAGGACAATATTACGTATATTATCGCGTTAGGAAGATATAAACGAAATCCCAGTTGTATTCTACTACTTCTCTCACTGTAAACTAGTTAAATACTGTCGCAACCTCTTACTTGCTATTTTACGTAAAACAGCCTCTCGGCCACGTAAGGGACATTGTACATTGTTACTATTTGTCGAAGGACTCTTATTTATCGAGAGTTAGATAGCCGATCAACCCGAGGCAAGCTAAATTGATACCAATAGCAATCAATTAATTGTAAATGAAAGAGAAAAAGAGGGGGAGAAAGAGGAAGAAATGGGGAGCGAAAAATTCTCGTCGCACGAGTCGTATTCCCAACGAGTTTTTATCGCGATTTAAGATAGATGCCTTGTTGCTCCAAGAACGGCTTGTCGCGCTTGCGTTCACCCCACGGAGATTTCGGGATTTTCGGAAGAAAGCTTTACTGTTATTTAGTTTTAACGTAATCTCATACTGTCTATGCTTGTACATGTATCATATAAACATATACCTGTATGTATATATATGCGCGCGCTCATATGTATATGTATATGTATATATACACATACACACACATATTATATATGTACACTCTCAGTAGATGCGAACCGTTGTTCGGGTCCGATTCACGCTGTAAATTGACTGGATTAAGTAAGTCGATGTTGCGAGAGTGAATCGTCCTGATCGTGACTCACACAGCGCGCAGTCGATGCATTTAGGATGCGAGGAGCGCGAACGCGCGCGGAAAAAGAAGAAAAATCATACCTCTCGCAATCGTGTTACAATATTACATGTATGTATGTATGCGTAATCCGCTATGTATAATATTATCGTCGATCGTTAACGTGGCGCCGGTTATTATGCACGGACACACGATGACCTACCGGGTGCCGCCGTTAAGTGACTTTTAATAGCAGCGATCCGGCATCGTGAGCGCGCAATGACGAGCCGACAATGCCTTCTCGTTGTACAAATATCGAAGAAGAAGAGGAAGAAGATAAAGAAGAATAGAAAGATAAAACGGTAGTCGTGGTGTCAGAGTATCTTTGGCGACGTATATTTACTTTAAGAAACATACATATATATATATATATGCAAATCAGCATATAGTCTTCGCTGTAATAGGGGAAAGAAGAAGAAAGAATATACGTAGAGATCCGTATATATATATATATATACATACATATATATATATATATACATATATATATATATATATATATATATATATATATATATATATA